CTATTATTTATTTTCAAAATTCATTCAACGGGTAATAACTTTTCCATCAGTTATCTCTCAAATATAAAATGATTCTATAAATATTTAGTGTGCGAACACATAATCTTTGAGATAAAAACATTCTACGTATATGAAGACAGTGAATCGGTGTAATGCACGCATTGAAGTAGATAAAATCACATTTTGGATCACTACATGACCAGGTAAAAAAAAAAGTCATTAAAGAGAGCATGATTGACTAATAATCAGTAACATTCATTCAATGATACATTCATTCATTTAGATTAGAATATTGACTGCTTACATTCCTCAGAAAGAACTATAATTGAATTTCAGAATAAAATAATCACAAACCCTGCACATTGCACTTGAAATTCTTATTTTAGCAAGTGACAGTAATGGTTAATAATACAGGCTTGATGTTAACTTTTACACTCACTAGTCTGAAATGTATGTTGCCTACACATTCACTTCAGTTTGTTAACCTTTTCACAACGAGTTCCCACTTTTCATCACAAAATAGTCCTGTTTATGGTCACTAGCAATTTCTTTCAAAAGACTGAAAAAATAAGTAAATTGTTTGAGTAAAAACTCGAATTTTGTCGGTGGCTCCAAAATTTGGGTTTATTTTCCAGAAATATTAAGCATAAAATTTGGGTGAGAAAGTCTGGTGGTGAAAAGGTTAAGGCAAGTGAGTTACAATTTAGTTGTCAAATAGCAATTTTATTTTTTCAAGGCTATAGCACTACTCTTAGAGTCTAGGCCTGCAATGTGTTAAATAATTAAATTAATTTGAAGAGGAAGAAATATTCAGACTGAATACAACTCACCTAAGTTCTTTAACATGAGGAGAAGAACATTTCTTCAAATCATCTGACTAGGATAGAAAAACAGTTGTTGCATTTTGAAACATTTTATATTGCTATTTGGAAAAAATTAAACCTTATGTGGTCAATTTAATGTAAAAGTACATGGTTAAGATTAGGGTTAAACTTTAAAGCGCGGTGGTCGTCGCGCAGCGTGTGTTCGAATTTCATGTAAATAAACAATGTACTTTACACGCGTTGTATACGTTGCTATGAGTCGAACAGGACACGGCGTGACGACTGCCACCCTTTAATATGTGGTCAAGTCAATGTATGTACTATGTGGGGCTGGTAAGACTAGGGTTAACCAAGTAACCTGCCTGGGGGGTTGACATATTACCTGTTGAAACTTGTAGAGGTCGTTGGACTTTTCGTAGAATATTGAATCGAGCAATTCATCTTTAAGACCTTCTAAAAATTTACCATCTTGTATGAAATGTGGCAGCTGAACACAAGTAAATGGTTCACTGTGGACCACAATTTCAGCTGTAAAAAATAAAAGTACCACGTTGTCCTAGGGTTTTTAGAAAATAAAAGGAGGAGAAACTGTCATTCTCCAATTGAAGCAAATTATATTATTACTTTGGTACCTGCAGCAATAGAAACAGAAACTAAGGAAACTATTTTTCAACAATATTTATTGTTTATTTATAAAGTACACATCAGTTTTGAATAGTGGACAATTCAAATTATCATTTTATTTTAATTTCATCTTTCAAAATTGTACAGTTGAAGATATAAGTAATGGCTACCATGGCAATAGTTTAAATTTATTCGTTGTTCACCATTTTACTGTATATTTCATTGCATATTAAATACTTTGTTATAGGGGGGCTAGAACCATGGTTAGCATGTGCACCCAATATCTGGCAGTGAAAAAATAGAGGGCATACTGTAACACAGAATTCATTGATTGAAAAATTGTGCTGAGTTTATAAAAGAGTACATTCTGTAACACAGTAGTTACAGGACATAAATTACTATTTCTTAAACATCTTTGGAAACATAGAAATGAAAGTAGTATGAATTCACCATGAGATCTGTTGTCAATTGTATTTTTATTCAGTTTCAGATATGTATGATTTTTCCTTTTCTTTTCTTCTTTTATTTTGTTGCCCGTTGAATAATGCCAAAACTATCCAATAAATCAGATATATCCAACGACTTTTTTTCAGAAAAATTTTGACCAAGTTTCTTCAAACTTTGAATAATATACTGGCGACAAATTATCAAATTTTTTC